AGGAAATGAATAATTTCTTTCTGAATTTTAATGCGGATTCTACACTGGAGTTAAAATACTTTACGTCTACTTTGTGAACAGCTATGCAACGAATATTCTGTATTTTCAAGGCACTTATGCATTGCAATGTCCTTGAATTCAAGAAAGGAGCGTAGGTATTTATCGTGTATTTTAATATATCGACTAATGTCTGATTACATCCTAAGCGCCGTGATGGATTGCAACCCAGTACATGTTATTGTTTGGTGGGTTGCATCGCGGTGTTCTGCCATGAGACATCACTATTAGGAATTATAATTCTAGTATTAAGCGTGTAGGCTGATATTCACGCACATTATTAATTTAATTAATTGTTTTATTAACTTTATCATGATAGAAGTATCATAATTATTGTCATCATTCGTTTCTGTTGGTAATGTAATCGACAGAAAATTTGACGATTTCAACACAGATTTTATTTTCCCTGCAGACATTTTTGTCTCTTTTGATGACTCATTACTCAATGCATAGCTTCTATTTTGTCAAGGCTCTTTTGCTTTCATTTTGTACATTTCGACCTTGTTCTTATGTCATCTGTACTTTTGTATCCGTAATGTATTTTTCATACCATATCTCCTTTTCAGTGCTTGCCAGCAGCTGTCTTTCTATCGTTTGTCAAAGCATTTGAATAAATGGTTTGAATTAAGATATTCCTTCAAAACAACTGTCAGATCTGAAGTCGTCGATTGATGCACAATACACATTTTACATCAATGTATCACTTCATGCTGCAAACCAGTCCAGGTTTCCTAACGAATTAACGGCCGCGTTTATATATCGTTTTATGCATTAAATCGCGTATGGTCTCGTAGCAGCCATCATGGTGGGAAGGAAAAAACCCATGAAGATGGAAACATTTTACTGGTTACATTAGACTGCTGTTGTTTTTGTGAGATAATTTGCAGTACATTTTATTCTATTAAAAATACATCGGGGATAACTGACTAAAACGTGTGGTAACGCTCCGGAACAGTGCCGGAAGGACTGAGATCCACCGTGAAGAATCTTACAAAGCATGACCTTGGACCTCAAGAATCCAAGTTATACAATTCAAAGACAGAGTTATTTCGAGGTCGGGCACTCATAAGGAATTCATGTTCCCTACAGACCAAATACTTATGTATAGGAATGTAGTAAATAAAAACTGAGAACGCGGTCGAATTAAGATAGCCCTGATATAAAAATATTTACATTTAGTTTGAGTCCGAATCGTTAAAAAAGTAAATGAACACATCCATAACCTTGTGAGATTTAAGATTCTCACGTCTAAACACTGAAGTGGCTTTCAGAGTAGGGGACAGCTTCCTCTGCTCCTGTAAGTTGTCAAGATACAAAATATGCATCTTCTGCCATCTCTTGAAAGTTTATGAAATTACATAGTGACCACTGGGAGCTCAAACAAATAATAAAGCAAACCTCAGACTCTTTCATACAATACAGATATTTTGCAACAGCTGAAAAAAATACTACTTTAGAATGCCTTAGGGATATTAAGCATTACTACATTTTCTTGGTCTCAAAGTCAGTCATTTATGAATATGATTACATGTTACCCCTTTGTGAATAACAAGCCGCTGTAGAAAAGTTATACAACGAGCTACCTGACGTACAGACATATTCTTCACCCCAAATACACGTGATTGGAGTGATCAAACCAATCAGGGCTTGTAGCACGCATACGAAAACTGAGAAATGCATACATTTATGTTAAAATGGATCTTAAACAAATAGGATGTGAGGTTGTTACATGGATTCATCTGGCTGATGATAGGGTTCAGTAGACATCCAGACTCCATTAAAGCCGGAGAATTTCTAGACCGAGAGACAATTCACGTATTTGTAGGACATAAATATGACTACCGCGTACAATTTGGTGTTTATTTTTCATATAATACTGACTGTACACACACTTTCCAAGCAATTAGTCCCTTCCATATCCTCCTCGTTTTGTAATCCCACCCTCCCACATACCTCTTCTTCACACCTCCGCATCACACCCCAAACCCATTCAAGTGTCTTGGGGTGGAATTAAAATGGAACTAGAAAGCTGTCCCCTATATCATGCAGTCTCTTTATTGAGGCCGGCAATTCCATGCACGGGGCGAACGTAAAAACAGGGGTGTAAACCCCATGTCCCAGGCGATATTATTTCAGTCATACTCACGACTCTACGTATTAAAATGGAGTTCATGGTGGAGTAAAGGCCATAATTACAGTGCCTAGATCATGTTGCATCATTGCATAATCGAATAAATATTATTACGACAATGGAAAATACCCGCTGAAATTGAACGGAGGGGGATTTTATGTGCAACTGTGGCTTTCGAGGATGAGCCGAGTCGAATGTTGAAAATCATTCAACGTTTCGGCAAACATTGCAGCTGCCACCTTCAGGGTATGTAATTACTGGAAGTCCTTGCAAGTCTTATTATATAGGGCAGGAAGTAGGTGGCGAGTCGCATTTGACAGCGCTGATCGGTGGAGCCAGAAATCAAAGTATTGTCCAATTGGAGATTAGCTTGAAATTGAGGAAAAGATGTGATAAACAATCAATTAATAAGAGACACAAAAGTGAACTTCTTCTGTCAACATTGTTCTACAGAGTGATCCGTTTAAAACGCAACACTTACTGCCACACACGCGTCCCTTCACGCACAAATCGCTAAAACTAAAATTAATACAGAATTATTGCAGTCATATCCCGTTGTTGTTGCGACTGATTCGCTGCTTTAAATAGGCACCACCGTAATTTCAGCTGTTTTGCACAGACAAACACTTACCTGTGTCCCCAAGTTTTCTTACTAATCGGTGTATTTAGGTGTTATCCACAATACGCGTTTTATCCTACTTAATGGTACGCATGTCACGGCTCTGGCTATTCATAAACATTTTATAAAAGCCGACTTAGGTGAGTCAGTCGAAATTCGATTCCCGTAAGTGGCAAATTATTATTTTTGTATTGTGTGTGTCCAGACCGGCTCTGGTGTAAACCCGAAGCGGAAGCTGACCACTCACCCCATCTAGTGCCAAGGCCACGAATGTGTAGGAGCTTTACCGCACTCCCCACATTGGCTGCATGGCGTGTAGCGGGACAACTTCACTTTACCTTACATGTTTCTCGATGCGCTGTCCTTTCACGTTACTTCAAGAACCCGGGTCAGTTCTGTGAGACCACAATAGATTGCCAAACTAATTGTATTACGTTTCTTCATGGTAGCGCCGTGACTGGAAGATTCCCCGCTTCGCCTGCATGTGACGTAGCAATTCCCAGGACAGCCTGCATGCCATGCTGCTTAAAGAATCGGCAATATAAATGAAAAAAATACTGCTGGCAGACACGTGATTATTGACCAATTCTGTCCCGACACCGACAGCACTGAGCGCTAATTCGAGGTATCGATAACCAGAATGATTAAGCATAACTGTTTATCGCTTCACAATCTTATTACTTCGGTCGACAGCTTCTGTCACTGTTGGTAAATTAGTCGCTCTTTGTTCTGAGAGCAGTCTCACAGACCGCCGGCCACAGTGGTCGCGCAGTCTGGGGAGTGGACCTTGATCGCTCGAACAATGATATCGTTGGTTTGAATCCCGCTCATGATATGGGTGTCTGTCCGCGTCTGTGTTGTGCAGTCCTTGGAACGAGATTATCACTCGTTCAAGAATCCCTGCACACGTATCATGCGTGATACGCGTCCGGCACATCTCATCCTCGTTTATTTGATAATCCTGTCTCTTCATCCTTCCCAGATCCAAATTCCATTTTCAGTGGCTTACGTTTTCTCAAAGAATCCGTTCAAGTCCCAGGCCCTGTGTAATATTTCGTAAAACGTCGGTTTCTTTTTTACGGTGAGGAATTGTTGACCCACTGGCCAATCACGAAGTTGGACGAATATCCCTTATCGGCTGTCCATAATTTATTTTATATACTCTCAGCTATCCTTTATATCTGGAAGCCTTATCTATCCGGAACCTGAGGGTTCGCCATACCGTGATGACATGGGACCTGCTAAACAGAAGGAACATATATGACAAAATTTCAGATGGGCTACAAATGGCCACGGCTTTGCAATTTGCCCACCTCGTATCTCGACATGTCCCCCCTCAACCACATCTCTCTGAACGCACGAGCGCATGTGCCAGCATCCCTATTTGGACCCGTCCAATAGTTAAGATTAAGTGTGGCATTTGACCCCAGTGCCTTTCGTCTCTCATGTTACTTCGGCCAACTCCCCCAATTCGTGGCCCCCTCGCCAAACATTCCTTGCTCCCCTGCGGCGCAGAAAGACGGTTCATGCAGTGCTGAAGACCTCTGAGAGCCCCGCGCTCTCTCGTCCTGCGCGGTGGGTGCCGTTATGGGGCCGCGTATATTCCCCGGTATCCGCAGCTGGCTGTGAGCTGTGACCGGAGTTGCAACCACACATTGACGCCAGGACATCGCGGCCATTGTCCCTCACGACAGCCACCTTATAAATCCATTCGTGTTGCTCATCTTCCCATTTCATCCGACGCTATGTAACCTAAAGGAAGTATAACAATTCGCAAAGAGTGGATATAGTACATTCATGTACCCAAATTTCCACACGCTGTTCTGTGTTCATTTCGTGCGAAAAGTCTGCAAAGAGACGGCCCATAGGGCAGAGAAAATATTGGCTGTTGCTTGAAGACTGCGTGACGCACCACAGCCAACGGCTGCCCCAGTGACTTACCACTTGCTGCGACTGTAGTAGCGTCACCAAATTCCATGTTTCAAGGCCACGGAAGCCTTCGCAGATACCCCCACCCCTACCCCTACCGTGAGGCTGCAAGCCACCAGTACAGTTTTGCTGCGCTGTAAGTTCTGAGGTGTCTTCACTCGCCTCGGTTCCGCTGTTTATATTGCAACGTTGTACGATTTTCCTGTGACCCTGAAGCATGCAATTATGTGACGAATACTACAACTTGTTTCCACTATTGTGCAGATGCCCAGAAGTTCTGAAGTGAAGTCCCTGTTGTTGGTGTTGGTGCTGACGTTGGGGCGAGGAGCGAGATGCAAGCGCAGAGGGGCGGTCTTCTTACCCCCCGACAGTACAGGACTCGTCGGGACTCCGCCAGCAGACAGACCACTTCTTCCCCTCAAATTCTGGGCCAATCCTCGGAAATCACCACTCAAACCTCGACGTAAGGACTTAGATGAGCAAACGTTGCTCAAACTCATGGGACAGGACTTCGATTCTCGATGGATGAGAAGGACACATCCCAGCCACACCCATATACAGGTATAATTAAGGATTCCCTTGTAGTTAGTGCAAAGTTCGAAGGAGTAGCGTATCATTGTTATATTTATTCCTGTATAAGAGAAAGGGCTAAGCAAACCCGTTATAATTTGACGATGAGAATTCCAGCAGGTACTGTACCGTACATAAGTTTAGTCGTATTTGAATTGTAGAAACAGATTTACCCAGCTGTTGTGTGAAGAATGGTTATGAATTGTTATAGCTGATAAGGCCTTTGCTTTGTATCATTGAGCACGTTGAGATTTCGCGACACTGACATGGCCGAACGTCGGGATATGGAGAAAATATTAGAACTGAATAGTTTAATTCACCGGCTGTTGGTATCCACCACTGTGTAAATAGACTGTTTTCGACACGTACAAGAAATTAACACGTATCTTCAGTGGTGACTAATCACTCCATTGTATAGGCCAGGTGTATGCCGGCAATTCTTAAGGGCTGTTTCTGTCATGGCGAATGTACCGACGAATAAGTTAATTTGTAATTATTGCGGGAGTGGCGAAAGACGTTAACGTGGTGTACCTTTAAGTGCCTCAACATTCACCTGTAAGAATTGGAGTATATCATGAAAATCCAGACTGAATTTGCTGTCCTCATGACAGACCTTTTGGATAATTTACGAGCCCCCCCCCCCACCCCCACCAAAGTCCTAGATTCGACCTTAAAGATATCACTTTATAGTACTAGGCGTAGAAAGGATTATATTAAAATGGATCTAAAAATTGGATAGGTCTATGAAAGTATTCATCTGAATCGGATCAGGGATGCAGTCTTACAAACATGGCAATAGACTTGGGTTCCGTGAGAGCTGAGCGACTATTTGCGAGTCATTAATGACTCTGCTCAGTGTGGCGAATGAGAGTTTCTGTCGGCGCACGAGTTGACACATCGGAGGCGTGCTTGTTCCAGGACGGGACCGCTGGCGACATCGAAGACCGTGCCACGGTGCGGACGCTGCGCGAGATGGCCGGCGAGGAGCTGCAGTTGTTGCCAGATGAACTGGTCCCCCCGGAGAATCGGGCTGCAGTCATCGCGTGGTTAGTGCAGCGAGCTACCTGCCCTATCCGCTACGTGTGGGATGACCTGGGCCCATATTTCTGGCCACGCTGGGTGCGCAGGGGCGAATGTGTGCACGACGCAGGTCGGTTTTCAGTCCTTAGTGGCCAACACTGATTCACACACATTTTTAAGCCTCCGATTTCAGAATGAAAAAGATCGCAGTGATGATTGAAGTCACTGTTTTACTCTGCATGATTTAAAACTGATTTGTTTTTAGTTTATTTACCGACGTTTTCTCAACCGCATAGGCTAACCAGCATCGAATATGAAAATTAACATGATTATATTCTGAGATGTTGAGCTATATAGTCGATAAACTGTTTTGATGATGGAGGCAGAAAACACCCCAGAAAAGTCGGTAAACGTCTACCAGACTTCACGGCGCACGGCATCCCAGAAGACAGTAATTTTCATACTGGCCGCTATGAGAACATGAAATCTCATCGAATGTGAAAATGACTGGAAATAACATGGAAAAACACAGCCGTGACCTGTTTAAAATACTCGGTATTTTGAGTACTTCGTGTACGGTGGAGCATTGGTTAGCGTGAGGCAAGAGTTACATCGCCGTGCCCGTTCGGCATCTTCTCCGGCAGGCTTGTATGGCGGATCAGTCTATGAGCTCTCCAGTAGGCGTTGCTAAGTAGGATTTGAGATTCTCACGGCGGTTTAGTCTTGTTCCATTCCGTTTCCTTTTAGTGTATTTTCCTTAATGTTCTATATTTTTTTGGGGTTTGCCTATTATAAGCTCCTTGCTGTTGGCAATCACTCTAATAAAGGAACTGAACTGTTCTACATCATCTTACAAGGTATCTGTCCATAGGCCACGCTAGAAACGTTTCCCAGTGGCTCGGTTTATTGTTACACTTCTGATGAAGCAATAAAGTGACGCATCGGATTTACGCCTGTTTTCTGACATGTCAATTCTTGCGATGTGCAGGTGTTGAAACGACAAGCGAAGGTCGAAATTCGAGTCGAAGAACTAATACGAGAAACACGCCATGCAGTTGGCCTCCTGGAATGTTGTGTGTGCCTGGAGTCGCCAGAAACCTTCAGATTCTACGGTGGCACTGCAGGTAATGAACGACACATGGGAAAAGTCACATTAACCGTTTCAGTCAAAAGAGTTGGCTGAAAACCATAACAAGTCTTTGATTTCAATACTTCTAGTACTTCTTGGTTTTATGATAAACCACATGCTTTTAATACAACTGTATGAGATTCTTTTTACCAATCTTTCCGTCTTATTATACCCTGTTTCAAAATTACGTGTAAAACCAGTCACTGTCTTCACAATCGAATTTATTACGTAATTCGGCTACGTATATGGATTCACTTGGATAACATTCTTTGTTGCAGACTGAGGAAAAACCTGAGTGTCGGAGGTGCTTCTAACAGCAACAACGTGTGGCTGCTAAGGGGTAGTGCAGGTCAGGCTGTGGTAGACAGACATTACAACAGCAGCAGTAAAAGCAAACGTCGAAAGCGGTACCGCTGTCAGTGGCTTAAGGTGCCTTATCCTGTTCCTGAAGATTGTGTATGCTCCTGCTAGTCCCAAACTCTTCCGCTTAACCTCTGCTAGTCTGTTCAGTGCCTCTCTGATGTACTTTCATTTATCACAAGTATAACTCATTGTCTTTCTTTCATGACTTTCTGCCGCAGACATTTTCATTGACAAGACAGCATAAGATCTTCTCAGACTGTCAGCATGGTATGTAACTAAGTAATTTGATTGATTCGTCCTTCACATCCAAGCAATATTCACCATCCTTTTTCTCTAAGCAATTATAAGTCTACAGTACTGCATGAAAGTTCATCTTGAGAGTCACGGTTTTAATTGAGAAATAATTCAGCCATTGCCCGCGTTTATTCATTAGTTCCCCTTATTAGCATCACACCACAAAACATTCTTTGAATGCTGAAAGCAACCTTTTTCCTTGTTTCAGGAGGCAAGTGATTATTAGTGCAGAACTCACTTTTTGTGTGTGTTCGTACGCGTGCGCCATATTATAATTGCTTATTAGGCACAAAATGAGTAAAATATGTATTTTATTTTACTGACTGCTTTAAAAACATCTGACATAAAATCTTGTCTCCATCTAGTGCAATAATTTGAGTTGAAGGTCATCTCCACTCTTCGTTTGCCAAATGAAAACCTATAAGGAACTGGTGGTGTTGTACAGTTGTAAAATGACTTATTACGCTCTCTTGTTATTGAAATTGTGACACATGAACCCATTCATTCAGCATATGTATAATTACAGTGGTTAATATTATACTGGCATTTCAAGGTCATTATTTTATGTATTTGCAGCACCGTGCTTTATGTTCTATACAGTACTTCAGCGCTTCACTGGCAGCTTACACCGGCATACGTCACAGAACATTTGTTCCATTCTTCTC